GTCCAGCATGAGTTGGAATGTTTTTCTCATTTCAAAATAGCCTTAAGAAGCTTTGACCAATTCATGATTGCACTTCTGAAGAGGAAATCACTTCGCCCTGGGGAATATTGCTAATCAGAAAAAGAGCTGCAATCCTGTCCCCATTGGCTTCAATGGGAGCAGAACCACTCTCTACATTTACCCAGTATTAGCATTTATGAATAGTAATGTGCTGTTTATATTAACTGTACATACTCTAAACCTGTAGAAATGTCATCATCTGATGGAGTAGTTTCATCCTCTGACTGGTCACTTAGAAGATCACACGCTTGAAGTGATGAGGAGTCTGCAACCTCCAAAACAGGTGCTATGCTAGATCTTCTGCCATTTTTACTTCCCTCTGAAGGAAGGGTTAGGGTAGGTCCACTGGAAGATCTACATCCTGTATCTTGTAAATCTATAGCCACGGTCCCTGAAACAGCATCAGAAGCAGCTCTCAATGTACAAGTCAATTAAGCATTTAAAAAAGGGTAAATTATGCTTATTATGGATGATCTAAAACACAACCAAATATTCAAATAATATCTGTTTTGGCTATGTATAAAAACTACATTAAAATATAATGTTTAAGCTACATCCAGTGTAGCCTTACAGCACTGAACAATATACAAGGCAGTTTCTCATTAATATGGTAATAAATTTTTTCCAAATACATATCAGTCTATGGCATTTAAAAACATATTCCATGCAATCAGGCTGTGAGAATATGCACAAATAAATTGCAGATTATATTGCATTTATGAATGCTGTTATATATCCATAATAAGGAATTTGACTTAATAAATCTGAATATTATAACCAGAGAAATTTAAGATTTCCAATTGTGTAAATGAGATCAGAATTTGACACCTTGACTCTTAATGCCTTTGTTCTTCCTGGTTCTGTTACATCATGTTTCTGGAAACAAAATAGAGTCTGATGAGTTGTTTGATGGACTAAAAGAATGTCTGGTGACCTGGACATTGGGATTTTACCTCCTAATTTATGCCAGTAAGAGATACTGGTTCCTTGTACAAGAAATGGGAATAATTCTGATCCGACTGATTAGCGTTTAATATTAGGCCAATTTGTAGTGAATTAGCTTGTGATATTCATATGAATGTACAAACTATAGGAATTCATCTTTTGCATATAGGAATTCATTGCATGAGATATTTTAGATTGTTGGTACATTTTAGCTAGATTACCATCAAATGTATCAATTAAACTTGTGTCTTGAATTATGAATTATACTTTTAGACAGCAAGAGACTGCAGCCTTTTGTGACTAAACACTTTCAGTATTTGCTACAGGCCTGAGTTCTGGACTCTGCCAACCTACACTCAGTGGAGGAGAAGGGAAACAATGATACAGGTGGTCTTATGACACTTCTATGCTCCCATCCTAATCCTGGCACTCGCTAGGATAATAGCCTATCTTAGGCACTAGCTTTTGACCATGTCTGTGGCCCTAAAGGGTCACCCCCAAGCACATCCCTTTTTCTGCTTGGACATGCCCTTTCAGCTTGCTGAGTGACATGGGAGCTGGTGTGGTTGCTTGATCACCTGGATGTTCTTCCATGCTCGGGGACCTCTTCACTGGCTTGTTAACTTGATATTACAGCTGCTTTGCACCACTTGGGATCTGGTCTGAACTTTGTGGGGGTTTTAAATAACCTTATGAGTTTCCTTGGCAAGTGACTTGTTAGACAGTATTCTCATTTGCATAGAGTTGTATGTGATGTTGTATTTCTGTATATAGCAAGAGTATGCCATTTATGTTGATCTTGTTGGAACTTCTTTTTTTTTTTAAATTGAATATGTACATTTAAACCTAATGAAGGAAAATGTTTTCCATTGCATAGGGCATTTTCTTTTAAAATAGCTTTGCAGTTTTAGTGTAGTACATTTTTGAGCTTTCTTTTCTATAGTTTCAGAATATTTTATGAGATTTACCTGTACTTACCCATACTGGCAATTACACTGTGCAAGGGCAACCTAGAAGGTCCATGGTAGTATGATTTGGATTCATTATTTTTTCTATGATGTTCTTGCTTTTTAAAAGCTGAATTTTCTTCTTTGGTAATGTTGATATAAAAACATATATCTGTAGAGCTCATAATATATCGAGGGCCTGGATTCAGCAAAATGTTTTTGTTATCTTCCCTCCTAACACCAATCAAACAGACTCCAAACCTTAATTAAAGAAGGAAAATACAAGGTTTATTGAATGTATCTCAACAAAACACAAATTACAGATTACCATAATGGATCCTTAATTTAGTGTTATTTACATGCTGCAGAGTCAAAACGTGCACATTCTTGGAAAACAAATATTTGAAAATACAGTATTTAACAAAATTATTCCCAAAACAGACCATCTGTGATCAAGCACAGTTCCTTGGGAGTTATGAATCCCAAACCACTTCAAAAACTTTTTATTCTATAGCAGTATTCTTCCGATGTTGGGCCAGTTAATGTCTGATATCAGACATATAGTCCCTTCTGAGAATACAATAGATGTATGGAACTCTGTTAATTCATCATACTAAGCTGTTCCATTTTTAACCTGTCAATGGAATTGTTTTCAGATTCCCCACCCTCCCCTAATTTAGTCTTAGGGTTTTTGATCAGTAGTAGAAAATAAGGAATTAAAAAGACAGCCACTGTTCTAATTTTATAATGTTGAAAATGAACTCTTATATATAAATATGATTGCAGGATACATTAAATGTGTACATTCATATTACAATATTTTAAACCCCTAATAATCTATTTATACACTCTTTATCAATTGATTCATTTTATTAGAAACAACCTTTTTTACCAGAATGAAGGTAATATACATGAAACTGACATTTGTGCACGCATACTCAGCATAAGCTTGTACAAATGAATGTGTTCAAAATATCTCAGGACACATCTGAGGTTAAGGTGATCTGAAAATATAGCCTAGATTGTCAATAAATGAGATAAGACTGATGAATCAGACCCTAATTTTTGAGGATGGGACTGTGGAATGTTTGACGATTAAAATATGTTGGGGGGGGAGGGGAATGATTCTTGGATAAAGAAATGGAAAGGTTGAATGTTGATATCTGCAGTGTGCAGGAGACATAATGGAATTTGAACGATGGGAGCACAACACTGACTCATAGATCTTTTGATTGTTGCACTCCTGTGATGCATCTGACAAGCACAATGATGTTCCTCTGATTTTGTCCCTGAAAGTGCAATCTGCCATACTGCCTTGGCAGGCTTGCTCTCCATACTTGATAGCAACCATTTTCAGTTTAAGGTAGAATGTGCAGTAATTATTAGTGCATGTGCTCCAGCTGATGCAAGGCCTGATGCTGAAAAAGAGGCTTTTTATGCCACATTGAATGACATTGTATGTAGTACATCACTCCAACTGCATATTGTCATAGCAGGAGATATGAACATGAGAATTGGCCATGATAGAACTGAATTTGAACTGGTTCTGGGACCATACAGTTTATCAGAAGAGAGATCGGATGATGGTGTGTGTCTACTTGAATTTGCTTCCACATATGGACTATTTTCAATGTCTACCTGGTTTCAGCACAAGAATTGCCATAAGTATACATTCTGGTATCCATGGGGAAACAATGCAATCTTGGGATTTCAAACCAGAATGAGATCCTTGACTAAACTCATTCAGGATGTATAAGAATTTATGAGTGCTGCTCTTGCTCTGGAATCTGATCATCAAACCCTAATAGCAACAATGATGATCTATTAATAAAGTTTGAGAGATGGGTATCTACTATATCAGAGGTTCTCAAACTGGGGGTTGTGACCAATCAAGGTTATTATGTGGGAGGTTTTGAGCTGTCAACCTCTACCCCAAACCCCACTTCGCCTCCAGCATTTATAATACAGATGCTCCCCAGGTTACGCAAATCCGACTTACAGAAATCCGCACTTACGGGAAAAGTTCCATAAGTTCTGTAAGCTTTTGTGTGTGTGTGTGTGTGTGTGTGTAATTGTCAGGTATACCTTCCCACCTGATGCAAAATTTGACTTATGCAAGGCATTCCGGAATGGAACGCTTGCGTAAGTTGGGGAGCGTCTGTAGTGTTAAATATTAAAAAAAGGTTTTAATTTATAAGGGGGGGGGTTCCCCACTTAGAGGCTTGCTGTGTGAAAGGGGTCACCAATACAGAAGTTTGAGAACAACTGTACTATATCAAAAACTTTCAGTGTTGATAAGCTTCATAATAAAGTGATCACTAAGAGTTATGTGGTATCCATTTCCAACAAATATTCTATAGTGGATGGCTAGTTGTCTGCCATAGAGGAAGAGTAGACTTCATTTTGGGATTCTATCTCACAGGCTGCTGGAGAACAACTCGGACCCAGCAGAATGACAAACATTAGATTACAGATGATACCATCAAATTATGGGAGAGGAAAAAGTGATATGGTGCAGAATGGATGCACTGCAAGGTCAGAGTTGAGTCAGTAAAAGGAGGAAATGGGCAATAGAGAAAAGTCTTGAACGAGCAAGAGGGCCCGTCAGAATGCTCACAATCAATGCTGGAATAGTACAGTGCAATGTATTGATGAAGCCTCTGAAAGACATGACCAGAAATGTGTATCTGAGACTCTGAAGGTCCTAATTGGATGTCCATATTTGCCTCTTCCACCAGTTAAGGACAAAATTGGGAAATACTGCCAGCATATTGATTCACAACTTAAGCATTGGAATGCACATTTTTGTGAACTAATGAACAGATCAGCACCAGCATGTAAACTACAACTTAATCCAAAAACAAATCCATCAGAAAAAAAGGCTGGTGAAACAGTTATGAAATGATAATTTTTTTAAATTAATGGAAATATCCTATCTCCTAGAACTAGAAGGGACCTTGAAAGGTCATTGAGTCCAGCCCCCTGCCTTCACTAGCAGGACCAAGTTCTGATTTTTACCCCAGATCCCTAAGTGGCCCTCTCAAGGATTGAATTTACAACCCTGGGTTTAGCAGGCCAATGCTCAAACCACTGAGCTATCCCTCCCCCCTAAATAAAATACCTTGTGTTGATTATTTCATCAGAACTTCTTATGAGTGAAGCCTATATTTAGTTCACTGGCTTCAAAGAGTTGTCTTAAAAGTTTGGGAAACCAGCCACATTTCAGAAGAAAGCAAAAGGGGCTACATTATGTCTTTTAAAAAAGAAGTGATCATCTTGATCAAATTATAGGGTAATAACACTACTGTCAATCCCAAGGAACAAAGAGTCCTGTGGCACCTTATAGACTAACAGACGTATTGGAGCATAAGCTTTCGTGGGTGAATAGCCACTTCGTCAGACGCATCTGACAAAGTGGGTATTCACCCACGAAAGCTTATGCTCCAATACGTTTGTTAGTCTATAAGGTGCCACAGGACTCTTTGTTGCTTTTTACAGATCCAGACTAACACGGCTACCCCTCTGATACTTAATCCCAGGGAAGGTGTTTATGCAGGGCCGGTGATACCATTAAGGCAAACTAGGCAGTTGCCTAGGGTGCCAAGATTTGGGGCCGCCAAAAAGCAGTGCCCCCAATTTTTTTTTGGCGCCACAAGCCTGGGAGGGGAGAAGAATTTGAGCGGGGGCGGTGTGCTTGGGGAGGAGGCGGAGCAGAGGTGAGCTGGGGTGGGGAGCTGCCGCACGGCTCCCCGGGGGGGGG